ATAACAGGAATTGACTAGTTCTATAGCCCCATTTCTGCTGATGGTGGAAAACTGGTCAATTCTGGATCAGTTCTCAGTCCAGCCCAAATAGCTTAGTTCTGTGGTTCAGTCTTATTATGATTGAAAACTCCCTCGCTCTTGGGCTTTCTCCTTCACCTATCTCCTCGGTGGGCTCTGTAGTCCTAACACCAGGGAGGTGCTAGTATCAGCTGCTGAGTCTTTGTCCCATTTCTTCTGGAGGCATGAGTGATGCATTCTCCCCCAGTGAACAGTGACCTTGGCATTCTGTGTAACGGACTCTACTTCTTCCCTCCTCCTTGGCTTTTAGGATCTGTTGAAATTCCAACCAAGTTTCCCGATGATTCCTGGGGTATTTGCCTTCACACTTTCTCCTACTTCTAGTTATAGCCACCTGCAGGCAGGCCTGGGAACACTTTCTCTTGCCAATTCTTCTCCCCACTCAGCCCAGGGGAACTTCAAGACCCTTCCGATTCTCTGAAGCACAGAGAAACTCAGGGAGATGAAGGACAGGGCAGTCTCTGTCCGTTGGACGCACAAACACATTATGTTTCCATTTTACCGCCCCCCACTACCATGAGCTCAGTGGTGTGGGGGGAATAGGCACACTGCTACTCTCTAAGATCTCAAATAGGGAATAGGTTCCAGACCTCTCTCCCTCAGATCCCCAAATCCTATGGCAGTGGGGCAGGGTGGGGAAGGTTAAGGATAGTAAGGCAGGGCATCATATCCCCACAAACTACTACCTAACATGTTTTATTTCCACATGTAGCTCTTTATATCTGATAGAGAGGACCCTTAGTTTTGCACATAAAAGATTTTGAGGTCCTTTACTTTTAAATTCGTCTGCCTTCATCAATTTTTCCTTGGTGTATTGGCGGGTTGATGGGGTGGTTCACAAACAAAACAAAACATTATCTCAGGAACAGAGGCTGAGAAACTTTGAGCCTTTATTCTATTCCCATCTCTAGTAGTAAGCAGCCCAGAGCCCATGAGTGAGAGCTAGTGGAAACATGTCTCTTGGAAGAAGGAAATAGGAGATTAAGAAAATGTTTTCTTTAGGATTCTTCATTTTAAAAGTATTTTCAGGAGACAGGAATGTAATACAAACATGTGGAATAATGATTTGAGGACAAGGTGCTTGGGGAGAGGGGGAATAACAAAAATTAGTCTTGAAGGTGACCTACAGCTGCATAGAATAGTGAATTTTTTATGCTGTCATATTGTATGGTGACTCAGCAGTCAGAAAAGACTCAGTTCAGAATCCTCAGTTCCATTTATTTGTTGTCACAGATGAGCTTTCTGTTCCTGAGTCCAACCATTCCATTTGTAAATGGATCCTTATATTTCCAGCTCTTTGAAGATTTTTCTCCTAAATAGTTCCCCCCTCTCTCCTACATCATCCTTTTACTGTCTCCATGGGGTCATTCTTATCAACATACTTACAGGCTGTAATTTCTGACCTTTTTAAAAAGACAGCACAACTTCCTCCAACTATCAATCATTTACTCTGCTCCCATTTACAGGAAAATTTCTCAAGGTTTGGCCTGATCTCAGTGTCTCCATTACCTCACTCACATTCTTTGGAAGGCATTGACTATGTTTTAATTCATTCTAAATAAGCATTCATCCTAATCACCTCATGGACACCTCACTTGTCAAGATCACCAATGGACAAATCCGACAAATTCCCAGATCTCATCTCATAAGTCCTCTTGGTAGCATTTGGAACAGCTGATGATTCTCTCCTTTTTGAAACACTTCCTTCAGTTGGCCTCCCGAGTCTCCTTTGTTTAAGAGCTTACTCAATGTTCTTGCTTTAAATTCTTTAATCTCATTTTTAAGCTAATAATTCCTGAAGCTTTGTCTTTATTCCTGACGTCTCCTCTGAGATCCAGAAAGCCTGATCTACGTCGCTACTCAGATATATAATAGGCATCTCAAATTTAGTTGTCCTGAATAGAACTTAAAATCATCCCTCAGTCTAAAGACAAAAAAGCAAACAAATATTGAACTCTAGCTAATAGTCTGTTTTTCACAGTGATATGCATTAGCAGTTCTAAAACTATTTTGTGTATATTCCAGAACTGAGCAAATGGGTCAATATATTGAGAATAATGGGAGCCGGGTTTCCTGCTGTTGGAAAAGAAATTCAAATACAGAAATGGAGAAGTACAGACCGCAATTGAAAGTATTAGTATGAACTCATGGTATATGACATAGATAAATAGAGTAAATAAATATAGATACACAGCTCTCTGCTGAGAAGACTTAGAAGCATTGACACCCCAGGAGCAATGAATACACCTAGCATATAGAACTGACTTCAAAAGCCCTAAATATAAGAACTAAAACTACAAAACCCTTAGAAGAAAACAGAGGAAAATCTCCATGACATTAGATTTGGCAAAGATTTTTAAAATATGACACCAAAAGCACAGGCAACAAAAGAAAAAGTAAATGGTACATCATCAAAATTGAAAACTTTTATGCATCAAAGGACCCTTCATGAAAGTAAAAAATCAACCCACAGAATGAGAGAAAATATTTGCAAATAGCATATCTGATAAGGATGTTGTTTCTAGAACATTGAGTGAACTCTTAGGATGCAACAACAAAAAAACAATTTAAAATGGTCTAAGGACTTGAACAGACTTTTCTCCAAACAAGACATATGAATAGTCAATGAGCACATGAAAAGATGCTCAACATAATTAGTCATTAGGGAAATGCAAATCGAAACAACAATAAGATACCACTTCACACCCACTAGGATGGCCATAATAAAAAAATGGAAAATAGCAAGTGTTGGCAAGGATATGGAGAAACTGGAACCCTCATACGTTGCTGGTAGAAATGTAAATGGTACAGCCACTGTGGAAAACAGTTCAGTGGTGGTTTCTTACTAAGTTAAGCACATAATTACATAATTATTCAGCAATTCCACTCCTAGGTGTGTGTAGGGTTGTCTGTGTGTGTGTGTGTGTATGTGTATGTATCTAAAAGAAATTTTGTATATAAATGTTCCTAGCAGCTCTAGTCACAATAACCAAAAGGTGGAAACAACCCAAAAGTCCATAAGGAATGAATGGACAAACAAAATGTGGTAAATCCATTCAGTGAAATATTTGTCAGCTATAAAAAGGAATGAAGTACTGATACATGTTACAGCACGGATGAACCTTGAGAACATGCTAAGTGACAGAAGCCACACACACAAGGCCACATATTATGTGATTCCATTTATATAAAATATCCAGAACAGATAAATCAATAAAGACAGAAAGTAGATCAGCGGTTCCCAAGAGCAGGTGGAGGAGAGGGAAAAGGGGAGTCACTACTTAATGAGTATGGGTTTCTTTTTGCCGTGATGAGAAAGTTCTAGAAGTAGGTGGTGATGATGGTTGCCCAACATGATGAATGTACTTAATGCACTGAATTTTACACCTTAAAATGGTTAAAGTGGTAAACTTTATGTTGTATGTATTTTACCACAATACAAAAAAATGCAGGGCTGTTTCAGAGAACATAGAAGGAGCTAGAGAGGTGTGAGGTTGTGTTAGGTGTCTGTGGGATAGGGAACAAGCAGATGGAAGGAATTGCATTAAGACACCAGAAGAAACCTTTGGAACCAAATTTTGAAGAGCTTTAAACATCATATCAAGGAGTTTGTATATTATTCTAGAAACAATAAAGAACCACTGAGGATTTTTAAGCTACACGGTACATTGATCTGAACAGTTCTAAAGTTTCTGTAACACTCTTTTGAATGGAAGCCTGATATGATATCTAAACAGCTGTCAGAAATTCTTTTATTGGCAATTCCATTAATAAATTTGATTAAACTGTGTCCTCCTTTTTCCCAGGAAGCCAGGACTCAAAAGTCCTCTCCTAGTGTATAATTTTTTAAACCCCCTTCTTTAACTGTAAGCCAAAAGAAGTAGCCAGACTGGTGGCCACACCTAACAAGGCTTTAATAACTCAGTTGGGATACTTTTTTCAAAAGGAGACGAATGCCTCCCTAAACAATTAGTAGACTGAGGGCCTAGGCTATTTTAAAAGGAAAACTTTTTAACAAAAATATTTCCCCCGCTCCCAGGCAGCCCCGAAGCTTCCTCCCAGCTGTGGGATGATCCTCTGTGCGTAAGCACCAAAGCCAGGCCTGCTAACATTTCATGGCAGAACGTCAACTCCGTCGCCTGCAAGTCTGGCATGTAAGGCGTATAGATCTATCTTTAATCCAAACCACAGACAGCTGGCACTTTGGGCACCCCAAGAATGCAGGCAAGAATTCTCTATGATTCACCCCTGGCCAAAAGCTAACATGAACACCTGATGTTGAGAGACGTGGTAAGAACCATTGTAAACTCTCTACTCTTCTAGAAAGTCTAAGCACTATCGAAGTTAGATGAGTTCATAAATCCCATACAGAGGCCTTGTTACCATAGTTCTCCGTTTGTATGCCTTTCCTGGATTTTAAGTTAATGTTATAGCTTCAGACTGAAATATTCAACTACCTAATGTTTCTTTTATTATTAAAATCAACCACGCATCAGCCAGGGTCCATTCAAGACCCTTGGTGAGCTGCCTGTAGTCATTCTACCCCTCTAGACTCTTCTCCCACTATTCCCCCATAGAGCCTTAACTTTTTGCTCACTTATCTTATTTATTGTGTACCTTCTGATGTGTCAGTTGCTAAGGATATAAAGATGGATAAGACATGGTTCCTGCTTTCAAGGTATCATATTAGCCCAATAGAAAGACTGCTGGGCTGTTGCAGGAACAAGGTGTTTTTCAACTGAGTCTCTCCAGCACTGATTTAATATCTGCCGAAATTCTGTGCCAAACTCCTTAGGAAGTTTACAAAATTAGAGACACCTCCTCCTTCTAGGCAGGACTTTACTATTGTTTAATCACAATGGAAATTTAGGACAATTAGACCAGCCAAAAGGGCTTTACTGTCCACTTATGCCTGACAAAATGTGGTGCCAAGCAGTGCCCCAATAATACCAGCTCTGCCCCTGCTCCGAGGATGGTGTGTCTTCCCCACCAGAGTGATCTAGGACTCCTAGAGCTTGCACACAATCTACAGCCAGACCTCATGGCCTTGACCAGGTGACAGCTTCAAAAGGTGAGGACGTGCTATGTCCTTTTAGTAACTTCTGGGCTTCAAACTGTGCTACATAATCACAACTCTTTTCCTTCTTTTGAGTCATGAAGGGGCAGGTCTCTCTCTGTTGTAGAATCATTAAACAACATGCACAATTTTTGGACAAACAAAGTTTTACCCCAGAAACTTTATAAGATCAACATCCTTTCTCCCTTGTGTAATGTGCAGAATTTATTTTAGAGTGACTTACTGAAGAACAATAAACAATGAATACAGTTCATTTATCCCATTTGTTTCCCATGAAAAGAGGGAAAATGCTAAGTGTCAGGGATTTAGGGGCCCTTGGTGATGGTTAATTTTATGTTTCAACTTGACTGGGGTAAGGCAAGCCCAGATAGCTGGTAAAACATTATTTCTGGGTGTGTCTATGAGGGCATTTCAAGAAGAAATTAGCATTTGAATCAGTAGACCAAGCAAAGAAGATCTGCCCTCACCATTGGGGGTGGGCATCATCCAATCCATTGAGGGCCTGAATAGAACAGGTGGAGGAAGGATGAATTCTCTCTGTCTTCTTGAGCTGGGACATCCACTTTTTCCTGCCTTCAGGCATCAGAGCTCCTGGTTCTGGAGCCTTTGGATTACCACTCTTACACCCTCTCTTACCACTCCCAGTTCTCAGGTCTTAGGTTTCATCCTGGGAGTTACATCACCAGCTCCCCTAATTCTCAGGCCTTTAGACTGGGATTGAATTATACCACTGGCTTTCCTGGGTCTCCAGCTTCAGATGGCAGATTGTGGGACTTGGCCTCCATAGCCATGCGAGCCAATTCCTATAATAAATCCCCTCTTGTATATATCTCTATGTATATATCCTATTCATTCTGTTTCTTTGGAGAATTCTAATACACTCTTTTCAGGAGAAATTGACTGAAGACGTCCCATAACAAACATTGTCCAGCATGTGCTAGGCACGTGGAGAGCTTGTGATACAACACTAATTTTAGTCCAAAGTGTAGGCTTCCATAAGAAATAGATTCATACTTTTTCCCCAACTTTATTCAGATTCTTTTTAAATTTCTAAATAGAACTTCTTTTGTCAATGTCTACTTGGTCATCCTATTTACGTATAGAATTTCTACATAATTAGTTACCAAATTTTCGTCAACCTCTCCCCACTGTGCAAACTAACGCCAATCTCTGATACATCCTAATGAGTCACTAAGGCACATAGCTTCTTGTCTATTGGCTATTCCTACCCTATGTGTCAAATACTTCATACTGCTAGAATGGAATGGAAATCCATGGTGACAACTGTGAACTTCATATGGAGCCAAAAAGTATTGTGGGGTACCTGTTAACTATGACTGAGTTTTCATTTTGGTCTGCATCAGTTTTAGACACCACAGTTCCAAAGCTATTATAGTCTTGCTACTCAAGTGGACTAACACGGGAATATTTCTCTTCTCCCTGTGCTCCCATAACTCTGTAAGGCAGCCTAAGATCCTCCATGTAGCTTGGAGAGTCGGTTCACTATCTGTTCTGCAGACTCAACTCTCTCCAAGGCAGTTAAAGGTCTAGAGTTGGACGGAGGCAGTAGGAAGCCTCTGATTTTGCCTTAGTTTCCAATCAGGGACCCCTGGGCTTTCGGAATTATTTGTTCTTGATTGAAAAACTAAGCATTTTATTTGTTTTCTCTGAATCAGTTTTGTACCTATTTACACTTAGAGGAGAGGACAGGTGATTAATTGGTACCCTCAAATGCCAACAGGCTAAGGATAGGCCATTTCTACACTCACCCAATTTCACTTTCCAGGACAGTTTCTTTATGACCTCATAGGCAAAGGAAAATAGAGTCAGAGTGAACACTGAATTCTTTAGTTCTAACTCCTTTTCTCCCTAAATACACACAAAATCTGCCTTTGGGAAGACAAAGCATGGTCTAGAAAATCCAACACATCTTATGGGTCATCTGGCTCCCACTTCTCTCCCAAATAACAAGGGAAAACCAGAAGGAATATAGGAGGCGACAAGTTTAATAGCCATATAAAGTAAGAATTAAATTTAACCTCAGCAAAAATAAAAATTCTAGTAAAGAAAATCCTTAGCAAAGAAGTAAAATCCATCATTGGAAATGTGATAAAGAAGCTGGATGGTCATGGCAAGGGCCTCTAGAAGGGATAGACAACGTGAATGAGAAGTTAACTATTCTTTGAGGTCCAAATACCTTACACAGTCCAAAGATACCAAGCTGCTGTTAAGCCAATGCACAACCTAGAATGGCTGGCTTTCCCCACATAGCATGAAAGGCCACCAGGTGTCAGTGAAAGCTAGAAAATAAAACCAAGTCTTGGGTTTTTAAAAAAATAGCTTGCCTAAATTTATACTAGGAGATTTCATTGTGGATGTTTTTGAGATTAAAAAATAATAAATAGAATATCAAATACAGAAACTCACAAAAATTATTTAAAAGTTTGTTAATGAACACTATCTCAAATGAACTCCCAATTTTCCTCATGATATCAGAGAATGTCTATTTTAGTTAACCAATGCCACATTTGGGAGAAAGAAATCAAGAATTACTGGTTTCTGTTGGCCAGATGTTCAGCAAATGGCAAAATTTAGTAAACTTGACTGTCAGATGCATTCCCACCTCGGATGAGCACAAGCTTCATGTGAAAGGCACAGCTGTTTGAGGATCACAGTTATTGATTAATTCCAAGGAATTGTAGCTGGCTTTTCCATATTCCTCATGTGAACAACTTTGCTTAAGATTCTTACTGGCAATTTTATAAACGGTTCTGCCTATTAAGAGAATTACCTCTACCACAAAGAACCAAGTAAAAACAATGAACTCCCCCTCACCTGTGTGGGACCCAAATTTACCATGCTTGGAGTTGATTGGCATCTTCAAGAAAATTTCATATCTTTCCACTTCAGAAGTCAATGGGTCCTTGTGGGGGCCTCACCCGGACTTTCAAACTAACCATGTCCTTGAGAATTAGGTAGCTCTTTTTGCCTCAAAAACAAAATTATACCTGAGGAAATAAAAACCATTATTTTTATGTCACTTTATGCTTATAAAACAACACTTTCACCCACCTTGATATTACCAGCAATCCTGTCATGTAGGTAAAATAATTCCATGCTTATTTTATTGATGAGGAGATTGTGGCTAAACAATTACCCCAAGTTTGTACATTGGGTTGACTTCTTAGCATCAACTTCCCATTTGTAACTTGTTCTGACTCAGCTTCAAGAGCAACTAAAAATAAATACAGAGCCACATGCTGAAAATGTTTCCAGTTTCCAGAGAAAACCACCAGACAAAGGTAGAGACAAATGTGAATGTGGCTGTCCAACAGAAAAAAATCAAAACATTCAATACTGCCAACTAAAGCAATTTTTGTCAACTTGTAGCTAAGAAGATTAAACTTGTCATCAGAGTATACCACTGTAAACAAAACAGAAAACATATATAGATTTTTCCACCATGTTTTTGGCAAGACAGAGTGGGTTGTGAGCCAAATTCACTTAATGTTTGTTTATAAGGCTTAATTTCAAATTTTTAAATTTTACTGTGAGGAAACTAGGAGAGTGGAAAAGTAAAAGGGGAATTTGAGAAGGAGCTCCAATAATACAAATTGTTTACCCTCTTGAGTTCTGAACTGAACCGAGATAAATAGAAGTCAGACAGATGGAACTGGAAATGTCAGCTTTATCACTCGTGAGCTGTCCGAGAATGCAACTCAGGTGGGAGGCAGCAGTGGTTCCTAATAATGTACCCTGAGCAGATTCACCTGAAAGCAGGATCCAAGACAAGGATTTGACTGCAAGTAGTTTATTCAGGAAGTAATCCAAACAGAAGAGTCAGGGAGTGACACAGGGAAAGGAAGAAAGCCAGCAAAGAATACATTCTAAGGCCAGTTACCACTGTGGGCAGCCTGAGCTCAGTCCAGCTGGGGAACCCTGGGAGACAGCAGAGAACACACCTCTGAGAGTCATCTTAATCCAGAGTCCCTGGAGCTGACACATTTATTCATCAACTCCCTCTTGTTTGAGAGCTTGCTGTTTGAGAGCTGTCTTGAGGGATATCAACTCTCTAGGGCACTTCCAGCTAGTCTTGTGCATGTGCCAACATGTTCCTGTGGCCAGAAAAAAGACACTGGGACAGAAAGTGTAGGTGTTTGTAATGGGCAACATTCTGCTGTAGAGGTGAAGACGGGGAGGAGAGAGGTGGAGCACCCACAGCATTTGCTACATCCATCGAGTCACAGGCAGCACTGGCCAACCTCAGGCCTCCCCAACAGGGCAGGGCACTTAGCTCTAAGCTTACCACACGGCCAAGAGCAGACCAGACCTTAGGTTTCCTGAGCCAAGAAAGAGGAAGGACCTGAGCCATACATGCTCAGTTTCTCAACCAAACTCACATCAGATAAGTCACTCCTCTGCTGAGAGAAATAAGTGAGGGAGTAAGAGAGACCAGGATTGAACTCTGATGGAGCTAGGGAAAAAGCTCCCCGCCAACAATGGTTGTACTGGGTGAGAACTACAGCAGGTGAGAAGTATCCAGACAAATTACGTAGAATGTCTTCACTCACCTTTTTACTTCGTTACCAAAAAGAAATCCCAAGCAAGCCACTTTTTCTGCTTTGACTTAGGTTTCACTGAATTATTATTTGCACGTTTCTACATAAAGAATAGAAGGTATACTTTGGGCACTAGAGATCCAAAATAAATACTTTCAATAGAGTCAATTGGCATAAAACTACTTTCAGATATTAATATATATCCTCTAAGGAAGAATTCAAAATCACAACCCAGTTATTAGATAGTAAAATCAGCCTACTTTAAAATATTTTTATGTCTCCCAGATACCAAGTAAATTGATTTTAAAAGATGAGAAGTGAATAGGCAAAAACAAATACTATAAACAGCGGGATAGCCTAGTATATAACTTGTCAGAAAAAAAGAAAACTTTTCATAAGGTTATAGCATACTTATGATAGGAGCTGAATAACATCTGAATGTAGCAGACCAAAGTACACCATCCAATTTTTTAATTTTATTAGAAAAGGGAATACTTTGACATGAAATATGTATGGTAGCCCAGTCTGCATAAATATGTATACATAAGGTGTGTGTGCTTGGGTACATGTGTTTGTGTGTGTGTACCACTGACTTAATTGGGTGGAGATTATGTAATGGCCTTTGGCAATTTTCAGTTCTATGTGAAGATGAGACAATCAATATAGACCTATAAAGTTCCCATAACAAAAGCCAGTGTGTGCTATGAGAGACATGGACTACCTTTGAGAGCCAAACACAATGTCTTCATTCACTTCAAAGTGACGGAGTGCCTATTTGGCAGATGGAAGCTTTAGGGAGAAGAGCAGAAAAAAGGTTGTATTAGTTATCTATTTCTGCATAACCAGTTAACCTACAATATAGCAGCTTGAAACAGCAACACTGTACCATCTCACAGTTTCTGAGGATCAGGAATCTGCCAGAGGCTTAGCTGGATGCATCCGGCTCAGTCTGTCTTGAGGTTGCAGTGAAGCTATCAGCTGGGGCTGCAGTCATCTGAAGTCTTGCCTGGGCTGGAGGACCTGCTTCCAAGATCACTCATGGGACAGGTGCCCATAGTCCTCACTTACTTCCCACATGGACTTCTCCATAGGATTGCTCACATATGCAAGCTGGCCGCCCTGGAAGCATACAATCTAAGAGAAAGAGAGAGCAACCAAGAAGGAAGCCACCCGGCTCTTTCTTTTGAGACATGTATTTGGAGCCATGAGTCACCACGTAAGAAGTCCTGTTGCCCTGAAGCCATACGCTGGAGAGAGCACTTGCAAAGGCCACAGAGACCCAGAGAAAGACGCCCGAGGAATCCCAGCTGTGGCAGCCCTCAGCCCAGGCAGCAGACATGTGAGTGTGGAGGCCTTCGAGACGACCCGGCCCAGCCAGTGTAGGACTGCATTCCCATGGGAGACTCTGAGTGAACCACCCAGCTGAGCCCAGCCAACTGCCAGCACCAGCAGAGATATTAATCAGTGATTGTTACTGTTTTAAACCACTATTTGAGGGAGTTTTTTATACAGCAATTAATAACCTGAAACAGATCTTACGAAGAGTAAAACCTCCTTCAACTTCAACTAACCAGAAAATGCAATTAAAAGGCATTATTTATTTGTCTAAAAGGACTCCAGTGAGTTTTGATGGGATTTGGTGACCCTGAAAGTAAGTGATTTCATTCTTCCGGCTTCCTCTCCCCGCTTTATACAGGGGCCTCTGAGAGCACTTTTTCTTATGCAGAAACACAGCTCTTTCAAACCTTCTTCATTACAAAGTAAGGTAAACACCACTTTCTAATCGCTCGGTTTGGAAATTCGAGTGACCCTCACCTGCAGAAATGACTATTTTGAGGGAGAAAACTACCAATGACTCTAAGGAAATGACATTTTACTGAAAGATGGCAGCATCAAAAGGGTCACTTTCAATATAGCATTCATATAAATCTCACTAGCCTCTTTTGTTGTTTTTTAAGGCAATGTGTGAAACATTCACGGGTGCTCCTTTTAATCACCACACCAGGAGTTGTTTTACTTATTGAAAGATGCCAAATACAGGCAATTATCAACAATGCACTTGCTCCCCCAGATCTAATTCACAGGATGCTACATGGGCAGGTATGGGAGCAGCCTCAGGAACAACATAAGCACAGCATCTGCCAATGAGACCAACCTCCCCCTCCCCAGGACACTATAATCAAGGTGGGAAGTCAACAGTGGGTGGGTGGCAGCCAGAAAACAGAATAAGGAGGACCGGGAGTCACAGGTGAGGTGGAAGGAAGTAAAACACCTGAGCTTGTAACTCAAAGTAACATCAACTATTTCTCCTAAGTCCATGGCAGCTCTCCTACATCGTAATTAGTAATTTGCCACATATGCCAAATGTGAAGTAGGTGACCCAGGTCCTCCTTTCTACAGGTAAGAAAAGTCAAAACAGCTTTGCTGTAAGATCATCGTCTGCATATTTGATTTGCTCTGTAGGTCTCAGAGGCCTTGGCTGCAGGTTTTTGACGTTTACATATTGGCCTTCAACTCTGAACCAGCTCTGCCATCTATTACAAATGCAGTATAGAAATGCAGTCATGAAGTACTTTGTTGGGTTCACAGTTACTCTGCAGGTCAACTCCTGGGTACTCATACCATCCAGAAAGCTTCTTTGACTCAACAGTATTGTTACTTCTGAAAAGAAGCATTACAGTTAGGCATTTCCCTGTTATATTAGACGAATTCAATAACAGAAGGGTGTTGGATAAAATGTATGACTTCTCAACAAATGCAGCTCATGTGACTGTGGCCTTAATCGGCAAGCTTGATGGCATAACCTCTGCAGTAGTGGTTCTCAATCCTGGCAGCACATTAGAATCACCTAGAGAGCTTATAAAAAATGCTGATGCCAGGGGCTGGACCAGTGGTGTACCAGTTAAGTTGACCTAACCTGTTTCACCAGCCAGAGGCTCTCGGGTGGGATCCCAGATGTGGACCCACTCACCGCTCATCAAGCCATGCTGTGGCAGGCATCCCATATATAAAGAAGAGGAAGATGGGCATGGATGTTATCTCGGGGACCAATCTTCCCCAGCAAAAAGAGGAGGATTGGCAGTGGATGTTAGCTCAGGGCTAATCTTCCTCAAAAGAGAAAAAAAAAAAAGCTGATGCCAAGGCTGTCGCAGATCAATTATATCAAAATTACTAGGTGTGGGGCCCAGGCATTGGTATTTTCTAAAGCTCCCTCATGAGTCTATTGTGCACCTAGGTAAATTTCTGCTTTATATTATTTTCATGTACAATAAATCTTCATGGTTTTCAGAATAAACAGCTGCTCTCAATGCCTTCTGATACTTTAGGGCTGTCTACTCCCACTGTTCACCTACAGTTAATACTGCAAATGGCCCTAAATTCTCGTTAAAAGAAATTTACCATTCAGAAAAATGGAAGGCTATTAGAAGAGATCAGAAGAGAAATTGTCTGTTGCTTGAAAGTGGAAATTCTGTCCTAAACATTATCCTGAGTCTAGTCGTTCTCCCTAAAGACTTAGCAAACATTTCCACGTGTCTTAACTAACCCAAATAAAACAGAGTGCCCTCTAGACCAGAACGAGTGTAGCATTGTGTCCACAAGGCAGCACAAATATATTTCCAAAAGGCCTTGGCAAAGGGTGACTTTACTCCTATTTCTTGAAAAGTGAGAGAGAAAAATATACAGCATAAAATATAGCAAAGTATGCTTAAAAATAGTCTCCCCAAATCCTGCATCGCAGTACAGCAAATGTCTCTGATATCTCCTTCCTGCTCTTTCAAAAACATCCTCTCTCTCAAAAAGTCAGCCTACTCGGGATTTTCCACCTCCTTCCTCTTTTTCACATCCATTCCTTCCTCTTATAAATAGCTGTCTCTTGAATATTTCAGCAGTCATCAATATCTTTCATTTTTCATGCCCAGAATCCATAATTTCTTATTCTAGTAACAAAAGCACTTTGCCCTGGGAAATCACCCCCTTCTCCTTGAAAGTGTTTCAGGTGTAGCTGAGCAGACCCACTTCCAGGGCTGAGCGGAAGACTCGGCCAACCCCCTGCAGTCCACAGAGGGCTGCTGAGCAGGAGCACAGGTCTCAGCCACACCAACTAGAGGCCATGAAACAACTCCAAGAACTCCATGCTGTTAGACAAGAGGCTTTCTCCTTCCGAGGACACCAGCCTTAGAAATATGTAAGTCCATAATTGCCAAAAGTGAGTATAAGAATTTGAGAATGGAGCCAAGAAGAAGGCAATAGAACTCAGGGGTGGAAAGAAAGTACACTTTGGGGTGAGAACATCACTCAAGTAGGTTTATCCCAAACCTACTAAGCTTTTGATGGAATCCAGCTATGCTTCAGGAAAAACTACCATTTCACAAATAGAAGACAATAAACTATTTTGAAGTCTACTGAGTTAGGTTTCCGTCACTTGAAACTGAAATGGTTACATTGACTGCGGAAACCAGTACTTGGAAATAAGGTGTTATAAATAAAAGTCCATAAAGTGTGTAATTTGCTGAGCTGTGATATGGTAGATGGCAGTAAGGCCACCTCTATCCTTACTAAGCTAAGAAGTTGGGAATGTTTGTTACAAGGTGGTTGACCTGTCACCTCTTATACCTGGGGAAACAGATAAAATGCCTAACAAAGCTGGAATAATCAGAAATTTTGCAGAAAAAATCTAGAACCTACGTAGGGATGTATTGGTTACTCCTTGCAACCTTCAGTAAGCTCCAGAAAGAAACAAATTTCTTTTACAAAGAACTTTTAAGCATGCTAACCCCTCTGGAAACAGAGGAAAGAAAATAAAACCTTGCTAACAAAGAACTTCTCTGCCTACTAGTAACAGAAGATGTTTTAAATTTTGTCATCTTTTTATTTCAGGGTTAGAGACACTAAATTCTCTGCCCCAGGATAAAGTTGGAAGTGAGGGCAAAAGTGGAGCAGGAGATAAGAGAGCAAGAGGAATCAACACTTTTTCCCTCGGGCTTCTTTTAAACACCTCAACCTGCAAACTCTTATCTCAAAAGGAGACAATCAAGCCCATGGAAAAAAGCCAGTCATTGGACTATCAGCTTGGGACAAGGGAAAGACGAGATGGGACTTTTGGACTTCCTTGAGACAGAGGCCACACCAGAGAGTGTTGAGCTAATCACTGGTCAGAATTGGAGAGCTCACTCTAAGGCCCACTGGCCAGAATCTAAATTCCGGGGCACTGACTTGACAAGATAACTAAATTTGCCTTTCCTAAAATTGACTGGCAGCAAACAGATCCCAAAGCTACCAAGTTTTTAAGAGAATTGAGTTTTCAGAGACTCCCCAGGCTGTTGAACAAAGGTCTACACATATATTGTTGTGCAGCTTTTCTTTTTTCAATTAGCAATGCATCTTGGGACGAGGTTCATACCAGTGCCTACTGGCTTGACCTTCTGTCTTTAACATCTACAAGTGATATTTCATTATATAGAGTTTTATAATTTCTTTATCAAGTCCACTATTGCTGACCACCGACTGCTATCCAATTTAGAGATACCATACAGAATGCTGCACTGAATATCCTTGACTGTACTTGTGAAAATAAGTTTTTCTTTAAAACTCAAAGGTGGTACTATGGAGAGGGTTACTATATCCCAGCCGACAACTCCTTGAACCTAACAAGCATTGGTTCAATAAATGAATTGATGGCTATCTTTATCAACCATGAGTTTTGTGCTTCATTCCCAGATCAGAGTCTCAGAAATATCCTCCATAATGCTTCAACCAAAGACCACCGAAATGAAGAGCAAAGTGCCCCATGGACCATGAACTTAAGACCTGACCTTTCCTGATGCTCAAGCAGCCCACTAGCACAGAGTCTCCACACTCTAATTCTCTTTTTCTTCCTGGTTGGTTTTGTCAAAGCTCCATGGTTTCCTAATATGCCAGCAGCATGTTTGTTTTTCATTTGCTTCTGGTTTATAAAGCCACAGATGTGGGTGGGTGGCAGGAACTCAGCACTTTGCTTCCTTAGCGATAAGTACCACCATCAACTGCACACATATGGCTCCTATTAAAATAAATGGAAGGCACGTGTCTAATTTGGAGGGAAAAATTGGCAAAACTGAAACAGCTGTAGCTATTGACCCTTTGTTTTGAATGGGTGCTACGTGAGGTGAATAGTTCAGTCCCTTTTTCAAACCTGTTTATATGGCTTCCTCATGGCATAATGGTCATTTCTTTCTACGTCTGTTCACATATCCTAGGATTTTACCCAGACTTTTCTTTCTTTCTTTCTCATTATGAAAGAAAAAACATAGGAAAACCATTTTTCATGGAGTCTGTAAACACCAATGACAAACAATGACCCTTCAGTACCAGCAGAAACTGGGTGACCAATTATTGATGTATTTTAGCAGGGAATCAAATATCTAATTGGGACAGTGGTTGAATGCAAGATTTGTTTTGCTCTCAAGTGTCTATGATTCATGGGTTAATTCAGTGAACATATTTTGAGCATGTCAATATGCCAGTTACTGGTGGACTCTGGACACGTACAAAACAACGACAATTTCTATTTCCAAGGGTTTCACATTCTAGGGAGGATAGTCAAGAAAATTGCCTCTCACAAGAAACCATGAACAACTTGAGGGCAGAGAAAGTGTGCTATTTGTCGTCATATTGTGAGTACTCAAAAAATATTTGTTGTATGACTAAAATAATTGCAATGTGTATAAAGAAACCAATGAGAGACCATGGAAACATAGATCTAAAAGTTAAAAGAATGGTCCAAACTTGGATGGAGAATTATGAATCATTACCATAGAGACATTGTGAGAAAACATAAAAATGGATGAGATTGACCAGGAACAATACATAAAGTGTGGCCAACATTGGAGCAACTGACCTCTAAAGGATAGAGAAAGGGCAAGGAACCACCAAGACACAATAAAGATGTGGAATGAGTATCTGGGTAAAGAATAATGACCCAAAAGTCAAGAGAGAGAGTGTCTTAGTCTGTTCAGGCTGCTGTAACAAAGATACCACAAACTGAGTGGCTTATAAACAGAAATTTATTTCTCAAACTTCTGGAGGCTGGAAGTCCAAGATCAAGGCAGTGGGAGATTCAGTGTCTGGTGAGGGCCCACTTCCTGGTTCTTAGACTGTCTTCTTTTCACTGTGTCCCTACATGGCAGAAGTGGGCCATGGAATTCTCTGCAGCCTATTTTATAAGGAGACTAATCCCATTTATGAGGGCTCCTCCCTCATGACCTAATCACCTCCCAAAGGCCCTGTCTCCTAATACTATCACCGTAGGGGTTAGGATTTCTACATATGAGTTTTAGGGGGACAAAAACATTCAGACCATAACAGAGAGTTTCAAGAAGAGTGTTACCAAAGATAAGAAAAGCTACAGGGTACATATGTAATTTACAGACTGAAATGCGCCCATTTAATAAAAAGGATTAGAAAAAAAAAATAAGGAAAGCAGGCCAAAGGTGCAGAGAAGTAGGCTATAAAAAGGAAAAAATTAACCTAGAAGAATAAAAAAAGACTTCTCTTTGCCCACCTTTTGCATAGAAGCTTCCTTTACATCCATCCACAGAACACAATGCAAAGATGATCAAAGTATTTCCCTGGGCAATTCAAATATGTTTTAAGTTGGACAAAAGATATTGTATCGTTAAAACAAAATACTGATTGTCTTTCTGAGTTTGCAAGAAAAATTAATATAAAGGATGATGTGTTCTCAGTCGCAACTTTGCCTTTCATATATTTGTATCACACTTTTGGCATCTGTTCACACTTCTGCTATCAAGTGCTAGGGGCTAAAAAAGCAAGGGAAGAAAAAGTACTAAATATTAAAGAGGGAAACCTAGGAAAAGCTAACCTTGTTGATTTAGTGACTTTCAATTTCATGGACAGGTAGGCTCAAAATTGTGATTTCAGATTATAAACTCAAAGTATGTTCTTAGTTCATATAATAGAATTAACTAGTCCATTTTTTTCACAGTCTTCTGAAAAGTACTGTAAAATCTGGGCACTCTATCTCCCGAACAAATTTGAGAACCATTGGCATATCACATTCATTTGCAAACTTCCAAATTGTCATTCATATACATTCCTGTCGTAACAAGAGGAAAAACAGTGCAATGGGTCCCGAAACTGAAGAAATGATGGCAAGAACCAGGCCAAATTTGCTATTCACCGCTCACATTTCTTGCAGACATCTTATAGTGAGTTCAGTGTGGAATCCATCTTCTAGTAAAAAAGCAGCTCTCTCCTTTGTGAGAGATTGGAGAAGCTAGATAATTGGAGAGAAAAGGTATTTTAATAAGTATTACTGTCCATTGTTTGATTCCCACTACTAATATTCTCAAGATAGAGTAGGGGAGGAAGACATTTCTTCTACCTTCTCTGGGTTCATCTGGCGAGAGAACAAATTAAATTCACATGAGACAGAATAGCCGGAGAAAATTAAACAAAGCTTTATGAGGACCATGGCCCGGGGCCTTTCTTCACGAAGGAAGAAAGGGCACTGAAGAATTGGGGTGCACAGAGTGGTTATATACCCCCAAACAGGATGTTTCACATATGATTGAAATGTCCCTCCCACAATAGTCACAAGATTGCCCTGTCAGCACAGCACTTGATGGACACAGCAGGTAGTGGGTCTGCTATCTCAGAGGGCATAGCAGGAGGCAAGTCTATTGTCTCAAGCTGGGTGGTCACAGGTGAGTGCAGCAATCAGTTCCTAGCCTAAGGAAAGATGCTTAATCCTTAAGGAAATGCCAATGTTGGGAGGAGGAGGAAAGTTGCACCTTTATCCCAAGGGCCTTTGTTCTTGCCATAGTAAATGTTTTAAAGCAGATATACAATGCGTGCTCAATGGCCACAGTCAGGCCCTTTTGGAAAAAACAGCAAAGTCAGGCCAAATTAGGTTTACACCAAATGGCTTCCTCATGTACTCCACCACATCCCATTGCTTTCCATTTCTGTTTGTCAATGTACAGATGGGAGAGGCTCAGGCAAGCCTAGCAACTCGCCAAAATGGCCAAAACCACCACCCCAAACATCATATCCAGCTAAAAGACAAAGGAGGATGTTGGGGGTGGGGGAAGTCAGTTACAGGGGGTTACCAGACAAGCACAATAAACAAATGCAGATTTAAGTCCTTGCCTTCCCCATTGATTAAGAGTTTCTAGAGATAAGGTCATCTCCCCTTCTTCCTGATAGAGAGGGAGATATCTTTACAGATGGAGAGTTCCTTTACAATGTAAATGTCTCTTACAAAGGGTAAGTAAATTCTACTTTTCAGTTGCTTTCCTGTCTGCAAAGTAACTATAATCATCATGCCAAAGAGACATATCTTGGGGTGACCAGTTCCAGGCCCCCACAATAGCACAAATGAAATATTTGAGTTTTTCCTAGGTTCTTTTTTGAGGGTCTGAATTCTGTTTTTTGAACATTAAACTGCTACTTAAATGAGGCTGCAGGTGTCTTTGGGTTCAAAGGGGTCACTCTAGAATTTCAGGTCCATTCAGGGTCACTCTGAAGCAGGTCTCCAGGTTTAACTGTACTAACTTCCTGAGCAGAGAACTTTCCTCCCAATGATACATTGATAAACATGTTCTCTTTGCATATTATCCGCCGCCTCTGAGTTACTACATGCTGGGCGAAAGGCTCTGCCTTCCTACCTTTCTTTAGCTCATTACTAAGTTTAAAATAAAATCGCTTTGTTTATCAGCAACATTTGTAACTTACTTCATGTTAGCATCTAAAGGAGTCTGGACACCATTAGGAATGAAAGGAAATATTCTCTAAGACCTTCAAGGAGAGAGAACTAAAGAAGGACATTTGAATGTCATTGTCTTATCGGTCTAAATGAAAGAGCTGGTCTCTTTGGACATGCTCAAAGCTGACGATCTTTACTATTAAGTATGAAAAGGGGATGGCACCCAAAATTCTACACCTAGAACCAGTTCATCTCCCAGTCCTAGCCAAATTTCTATGGACAAGGAACCCTTTTATCCTATGGTGAAAAATTACTCCCACGTCATTAGTATGCTATCATTTTCCACACAACCACCAAAGGAGCTAAATGAATCCCCATTTCCTCCACCCTTGAGAGAATTAGCTGGAAGAAACAGACATCCTACTGATTTACAATTCGGGACAGCCTTTCCCACATAAGTGAGAAAGTATTTCTCACAGGGCTTTTCTCAGCTGTTGCCTTTTCCTGACGCAAGTGTCAAATGCTCTGGCAGTTGAATTCTGCATCCCTGTGGTGGTCTTGGGTGTTGGCATTTGTAAGCCAGGAGATTTCTATCATTGCCCACATGCCAAAGCTCTAAAGAAAGCTACATGTGCATTGGAGGAAAGGCAGCTGCCATTGTTCCTGGGGGAAAATGCAATTAAGAAGTCTTTTAGCACACAATCTCAGCATTGTCTTTGGAGAATAAGAGGGAGAGTTGGAGAGCTGAGGGGATTCAGGCCAGGGCACTCTCTAGAACCAGATACGTGAATCTGACTGAGAAGCTTGCTGAGATAGCAAGGTGGAAGGGAATGACAAAAGATCAGGGCCTTATCCCGCGGTCCATTTTGCCCAAAACTTTGTCTGATGTGGCACCCAGAAACTGCTTCCTTTCATTCTGCCTGACAAGGCACAGGGGTGGAATCAATTTCTAATGCTCTTTATGT